TCAGGGTGATGTTCTCTCTCCGTTTCTCTTTTCCTTCTTCTTACGTAACTTACCTCTTTCAGACGAAATCAACTTCGTCAAATATGCAGATGACCTGACTGTTTCGCTTCCCATTAAGTCTCAAGTAAGACTGCTTCAAATTAAATAGCTTCGTGTTGGACATCAGTCAGTGGTCTAAACTAAATGGCCCCATGCTGAATCATTCAAAATGCCAGACTATTGACTTTTCCTTAAGTCATAAACGAGATCTACAAACACTAGTAAGTACTCATGAAGCCTGTAGCATTGAGTAGACTGAAATTGAAACTAGGTCTAATGGAAAATACCTCGGATTAGTTCTATCTTCCGACGTTACATGGCCATGTCATATCCCAACGATTTCTGAGAAAGTGTTCCATCTGACCTACTACATTAAGAAATTTAGACTATCTGGAATCACTCAACCTCTACTTTCACAATTTGTGAACTCTCGTATCTTGCCTATCCTACTTTATTGCTCCCCATTAGTCTTTTCTGGGTTACTGAAAAAGGACTATACCATCCTGAGAAGGATGTTGAAGGTTGTTAGTAGGACTAGTGGTATAAAACTCAATCAGCTCGTCACTACATTAGTAGAAAGGCATCTGAATTTATGCGAAAAACGGTTTAAAACCGTACTCTCCGACCCCCAACACCTCCTCTATTCCCAACTCTCTCCTTGTATCTCATCAGGTAGAACCAGAAATCAGTACAAATAACCAAGTATAGGAACTCAACGATACCATATTTGGCCTATGTTCTAAGTGACAGAGACAATGTTAAGCGAGAAACCTTTGACTTGCTTTGTAGTTAATAACATAATTTTGGCTCTTTTATTTCTCTCTTATTCTATTTTATTTGTATCCTATAGTGAACACCTTCTGATATATACTTAGCTAACTAATTTATTTACATCAGCTTACTTTTTTGCATTTTGTTATATTCCTTCTTTTGCGTATCTACCAGTTCCGATTATATTATCACTATGCGTATTATAAAATTGTCCTGTCATTGACCATCATGTAATAGTAGTTCGGTGATTGTTTTCTGTTCGACAATGTTAGCTGACAATCTTGGTTGTGAACGCCGTTATCACTATCTTAAAATTTTATAAAATGCAGGATTACTCAAACTAAAACTACAAACACCACCTTAGAGCTGACAATAAAACACCCTGAAATGTTTATTTTATGATTGTTTAGTGTTGTTCAATCAAAGTAAATGATCATTTTGCAGATAAGCATTCTTGATATCATTTCATAACTTCTTGTATGGTTATAGCTTTACTGTTAACCACGCATACACATATCATAGCTTCCACTACTCAATACTGAGATATTATTTACTATGTTGTTTATTTTTTGTTTTTATCGTTGTTCTTTATATTTATTTTTTTGAAATACTCCTCTTAAATGTTTGATAAAATTAGATGTAATATTGTAGATATGTGCTGAAAATTCCACACTGTATCACTAGTACTGTTTCTGGAATAAAGCAAAATTATTATTATTATTATTAAGACACTTATTCCTGCGCAATGAACGCCACTCAGATTCCTTCTTCATTGCAGTCCCATTCTTCATTGAATGAGAAACATCAGGTTAATCATCCCATCCACGTAAACATGAATTCTAATCTGTTACAAATAATTGGGTAGTAAATCAATCATTATGCATGCAGGAATGGTGAATGAAACACACATGATCAATGACATCACTGCGTCTATTGATTTCAGCAATTAGATGAGTCTAATATGAGTGAGATGTCGATTATTTAATGAAGAAGTGCTACAGGTAGGCAACACAGAAAAACTGAATGCAGATAATTGTTTTTCGGAATTGTTTCCATTAGATTATGTATTTGTGCAAATTCCATAATTTTCTCATAAATGAAAAGATTTTCAAGCAGATGAAATGCCTGAACACCTCTCAAACTATGACGTCTAATGCATTTGGTTTGAAGTAGATTAATTTGAAATATCTAAAGGGTTGAATGATTGATGAGTGTAGTTTCATTTGAATGTCTCTCAACTGACAACACTTTTCTGTTATTTAGGAGAAGTATAACTAAAAGGTAGTCGGGAATACACTGAAAACTGGGTAGTCTCACAACGGGGTGTCAAACGTAATATCTCAGCACATAATTATCAAAGATTGAGAAAAGTCGGTGAGTGAGCTATTCTATGACACATTTGAGTTGCCTTCAAGTTTGTTTTAGTTTATGTCTAAGATGCACTTAACGCTGGATGCAATCTACTGCACCGATGTAATTGTTTCCATTTTGCTAGCTTATACAATGCTTTAAGACTTCGCAGATGAGGAACCATGTGTGTAACGAGAATTTGACGGTTTCGTTCAAAGCATTCTTATGTATCCAATGCGGTTATAAAAATAAATTAAGCATTTTTTATACGTCATATTCTTATTTCCCGTGACTACTTTGTTGGCTTTCGAATACGTAGTTCCCCGTTATGGAAAGTTACACGAGGATTACATACTCGTTACCATAAGCATCAACGACCAAATCTGAAAACGGTCAATAAAGAGGAACCATCAACGTGTACATTATATGGATGTTCAAACCATTTTATTGAAATTTGTGTCAAGTGGAATGAACACTCCATCAGGTGACTCACCAATCCATTGAATATTTCATTCACAACGATATCTATTTATCGTATGGATATATCTCATTATTTCGGTTCACCCTGAAACCACATATTTCAAGTATGTTTGTAGTTTGGTGCATCACAGCAGTGAAATTGAAGAGGGAACCATCATGTAGTAAACACCTACAGCTGGATTCGCACACCTCAAATCACCATGTAATCTACTTTGGATGTTCTAGTCGTCCTCATGAATCTGTACAAACGGAGAAATATGGAATGTCGACTACCTTTGAACTATTACATATCGCTTTGCCACAATTCTGATGTTAACCTGATATACATGCCTCAGAGAGCATTGCTTCATTTTCAACCTGTATAGAACAATTCATAGTCAACTGTGGAAGATTAACTAATAACAATCTTCTTAATTCCTATCATACTGTAAATATATTGATAACACTAAGATTCCTGCTGAATGTACTTCATTTTCAATTGCGTTTCAGCCAAGTCTTATGTTGATTTTACACGAATGTCCAGTCAATTTTAACTCCTGTATATAAACGAGGCAAGAAACTTATGTGATTGTGGTGAGAGCAGGCTGTTAGCCAATTGGTAGACATTAATCTACACTGATTGGTAAACATTAATCTAGGCTGATTCAACAACCAATCACAGCAGACTTAAACGTGGGCAAATATGATTCGCAGATAGATCGCTCTACCTTCCGAGAAATATCGAAAACAACCAATCAGAAGACCGCCTTTTTCTGCTTGCATAAGCCTTATTAATGTACATAAAATATATATAAATATGTGTTGATTTTCCTAATAAAACGATCTGTTGCCTGGCCCTTGTCTTCTGTTGTTACATGATTACTTTGATATGATTATGAGCAGTAAATTGTGCTCGAAAAGTCATCAGTGAACAATACCGCATAACACTGTGTGACTTTATCAAAGTAAAATTTTATCCATAATGGAGTTACACCATGTTTTCCCTGTAAACGACTTTATATACTCTCTGGGAACGTCATACGTTTCTTATAAATGATACTGCACTGATAATAATGAAGGTATGAATGAATAAGTTTTCTGAACACATGGTGTTTTAGTGGAAACATGTCTTTCTATAAATCACACGGGTGTCAAATGATTGGAGTGTTTTCTCGTACATGTGCGTATGGATGACAACAGGATACAACATTTTTCATCTCGCCAACTAGTGTGCAAGACAGAAACATCATTATGCAAACCACTTCAAAGTTGAAATATTAATTCGTACACGTAAACCTGAATGAGTTTCTACATATATTTCACCCAGTATTTTTAGCTGTTTATTTTTATTTTTTTTGTTACAGCATTCATGTAAAATGCTTCGTTATTTGACTTGTCAACTCATTGAATTCTCTTTTTGTTATGTAGTTCCTACTGATGTCGTCGTGGGCACAGCGGTTGGGGCGCTCGCCGACCATCCACATGATCCGGGGTTCGATTCCCGGCCAACGCACTCCGCTACCTCGCTAAGCCAGAAATAAAGAATTTGTTAAAGCGGAAAGGTTAGGCATGAAGCTAGCAACATCATCGTGTAAAAATAAACACTTCTGCATAAAATTCAAAATTCTGGCTTGAAGCCTCATGTTCCACTGGAAATGTGAAGAAATCATTAATATTAATAAATAGTTCCGACTGATGTGACTGAAAATTTACTGTTTCGCTTCAATCGAAATACTAGTTTACTTGCTCAAATTCATGTCCTTGCATGATGATGCAAGAGATAACGAAGCTTGAAAAAGAGGAATCACTGGTTCAACTCCATATAAACAACCAAACGTAAATAAACAAATGCACTACCTTTGTAGACAATAAACTGCACACACCTACTACGCTACGTGGGAAAATTCACATTCTGACATCCTGTCTTGAGTGAGATGTTAACGGAATACTGTATTAAAAATTACTCTAATGTGTGATGAAGATGTTTTGGAAACGTCTACCAAGTTTGATGAACAGGATTTGGCCACAGATGCATTAAAATAGACATCCGAATTTAATCTGACGAATTCTGATCAAAGTTGAAGTCATATGAATTCCAGTAACCTGATTTCTAAGTGATGTTACTCGCAATAATTTACTAATTCCTATAATCTTCTACGGAGAAGGACGGTAACACTGTGATTTCTGCCTTTATTTTCAGTAAATGCGACTACACAACATTTATTCTGGATTTCAGTCAATTATGACAGACTGATGAACATCACTCGTCATCGCACTGACTACAAAAATATTCAATTCCCCAATGAATATTATTACTTGTATGAAATCTCCTCAATGATGAATAACTGAAGAAAATTTTATATTTTGGCAGTTAATGTACATTACTTTGCAGTAGGCTTAGATGGGAACATTGCCAAAAAGAAGAAAAATGAAGAAGCAGTCAAAGTGACCATTAAACAAGAAAAGTAGACGATTTCATCGGATTTGATTCCTGCTCCTGCCTCCCATATCATTTTCACGATTGCATAAATGAACTGAAATGACAAACAGTGTGAGAGATCACCAGTGAATTAGTGTACGTCTTAATGGTGGATAGTGATCAAATTAACTAGTTGATGTTGTGGGTTACTCAACTGAGACAAGTTACATTTTGGTTTGCAGCATTAATTTCGTGAGATATACCCATTGAGACATGAATATAAGAAAGAAGAGTTCATCGAGGAGTGCTTTATCGGGGAATTCATTCACTTAGCTGTACAACCGCATTTATTGATAATTATTTTTTTATAAGCTTCTGTAAAGCTAATTTAATGAATTTGCCGAAAAGAAACTCTTCGTTGAATATTAATTTCATTTATATCTCCTCACTTGCTTCTTCATTCTGTGTCCCACTTTACACATCAGTGTAGTATTCATGCACACTCATTTGCAATTATTTAAGTAGTGGCTGTGCTTTACACTCCATTTCAATAATGAAATTAATACTGATACAGCTACTGGTTTAGAATGATTTCATGAATACTGATGACACACACCATTGACACGGCTTTTCATAATGCTTTTATTATTGGAGATGCAGTTAATAAAGATGAATTATCGGTGAGTGTTATGCTATACTCAGTCAAACTGTAAGTTGTTGCCTGCAGTCTACAGGAAGCCTTGGACGTTGCGTTTATGCAATCTCACCGAGAAACCTTTCACCTCAGATATTTGAGCTCGCTTCACTCAGAATTTTATCGAGAGGCGTTATCATTGAACTACTCCGTTGCTTCCCATCACCGAACACCAGTTAAAGTACCCCGCGATTTTGAGTCACCAGGTTTTATGACCACAATATAACTACATCAGCATACACACTAGTGACGAGACACATGAGGGTCTTTTGAGGTTGATGAACAGTCAGTGCACACACTTCGCTTACTTTTACTTGTGAAGTGAAACATAAAAATGAATACCGATTTATCAGAGTCTTATTGAATAGATGATTTGATAATAGGGTGGGGAGAGTTATGCATAAGGAGGGTGTGTTCACTAATAATAGCGAATTTGATTTGGTAAAGTTTTTCTGCCACGGAACATGGAGGATTCCTATTCATAGTAGTTCAAGTAAATCACCTGATGTTATTTCTGGTCCCCAGATTGGAGTGAAATTTCTCTGTAATATCAAAAAGAAGCCAGTGAACAGAAAGTACAGAACCGGATCACATTGACTACATGCAGGATCGCACTATTTCCGAACTCATGGTCTGTCAATGACTTGTTGATATAGCAGATTTCAGGAGACCTACAAGAGCAACTGGGGGGGGAGATATTATGCCACATTCTCCTCCTACATATTTTTATTTTTAATATTTATTTTTATTTTTAATTACAGCTTGATTCCACACAGTACTTTTTGGTAGAAGTATGGAATTTTCAGCATGTGATATCGGTAGCCCAAATTTTGCAGACCGACCATAGATATCAGGTGTGCGCCGGCAGCGGGTCGAACTCCGGACCATGTGCATGATCGGCGAGAGTCCTAACCACTGTGCCACTGACGCAAACAATCACTACGATTAAATGAAGTAAATTTATTTACTAAGTGAAATAAAGATAATAATTTTTTCGACAAACTGATAAATAAATAAAGTATGACAAATGAATATTTCTGTATGATCAGATGTGTTTTTGTACTTCATTCCTTGTTCTCTAAAAGTTTAAACAGATCATATATCAGCATAAACATTTTGAACACATGCTATGATTGGCTGACTTTGTTCACTGGTTAACATTGAATAGAGAAATCTAAATTGAAGTTAACTAAATGATTGTTTAAATAAGATAATATTCAAGCAAACGCAGTATATTCGTAGGGATCATGGATACTACATTCAGTGTGACACATTCGTGTGCATGTATCAGTGCATATGATTCAGTGGAGGCCATTTTATTGCATATCCATCAGTCAAATCAAATCAGTCAAGGCACAGATGAAAGCTTCCCATATATATTCCTAAAGGCCAGTTTCCTCTTCGCATGATGTTGGTGATCACTTGGTGGAGAACCCAGTGTTTAAGATTGGATTAGCATTATACGAACCAGTAGGCGGCTACAGGTTGAGGGATCACTTGTGGATGCATCTTTTATTTCTTTTCTTGAAGAAGAAACAACTCAGGGTATCCAAGTTTGATTTGGAAACCTCAGCCTACAGTATGTAAATAAATGTGTTTCTCTTACCAGCCAATTATCATTTCTCCATGTACAAATCCTTCCCTATTTTCCACAGTGATGTTATTATAATTGTAATCATCACTCATCGCACAAATGCCAGTCGTCATATCATGACCGCGATAATTTGCTACAACTGTCTTTGGTTTGCAATCAAATGTAACATCCATGCGTTACTGGGAGATGAACATTCCTTAGAATGATGTGATTCATATTTGTGAATATGGCTGCTTTACAAAATACACCACTAGACCTGTAATTTCGCCTTTATATCTTGTTTAGATGACAGATCAATGAACTATACGAATAGATGTGCTTTCAAGGTTAGTATTTTTGTTCAACTATAGATCATAATAAAATTCGAACTGTTGAAAAGCGTCGGTAATATTCATTCAGTGTAACTTACTATCGCCGATATTAACAACTGGACACAGGCCAATAAAATGGTAATGACCTGTAAAGAGAAAATTAAACAGAAATTCAATCGTCTGGAGTGAACAAATCAGACCATGTAGAATCTGAATTTGTGGAATTCAACTTCAAATATTAATGATACAAACGCATGTGTGGTGAAAGTAAATGTCTGACATTATTCTACGACGAAATCAATAGCATATTATTTTAAAATGACTCAATAATGTTAAGACTACGCTTTCTTAGACGAAACAATGTTATCAATTTGTCTTCTTCGCTATCCATTCATGATGTTCATAAATTCAACACAACAGTGAGTCAATATGACCGGAACTATTATTTCCATTGAAATATAAGCAACATCCAGGAAGAATAAAACGAATTTTCAGGAATTCACCTACCTGAGTATGAAGCTTTGCCACTTCGAAAACCTCAAGAATAACCAACACTACACTCGATATTGCCGTACAGATGAATAAGAATTTGTAGTTCACCTCTCTGACTGCCTTGGTAAACACAGCTAGAAGAAACAGTGAAGTGGCGAACACTGTAGCCAACGCGACTGAAATCAAACACCATTTCATATGAAAATGTGTTGTTGCGAAGCCACAGATGATCGACAACCAAATATCCTGAAAACAGAACAAGACTTCAGCGACAGAGTAAAGGTTATATGACCAGCATTAGTTGTGGAGGAATACATGATGATAAATTATTTCAGGATTTCGTCATGAGCTGACATAAGTTAGAGAACCATTGGAAAACCTGGGAGTACTGCACAGCTGTTTCGTCCTAGTTTGGGACTCTTCAGCAGTACGCGGCAGGGAAGTCGTGACCAGTAGGGTGCAGCGGGTCGGGTGTGAGGACAAATACTCGCCGAAGACATTGGCTAGCGGTCGCGCTATGTCGTGAATTGGCAGAAGTTAGAATTCAAGGACCATTGGATCGGGTCCCAGTGGCTTAATGGTCTACGAGCTCGCCTTGTATCCAGAAGATCCTGGGTTCGAGCCCCGTTGGGTGCGTACTGATGAAGAGTCCCAAACTAGGACGAAACAGCTATGCAGTACTCCCAGGTTTTCAAATGGTTCTCTAACTAATGCCAACTTATGACGAAATCCTGAAACCAAACAAATCCCTACAAACCAACACTTAGATAAATTGTTTGTTTAGCGAACAGATTCTTCGTAAGTGTAAATCTGTTGTGTAAATTTTCCACCAGAACCACATGTTTTTCAACTCATCTGAAAAATTATTTGCAACTGATTAACAGCAAAGTAATACAATCGTCTGATAAATCGTGGAATTGGGCAAAAATACAATACATGGAGTGTTTCATGAGCTCCTGTGCTACTTCGTATTCTCTCCACTCTGATGTCAGTGGAAGGAAGGAAATTTTCGATCTGTTTCCCTTGCATCTGTGGACACCATCTATCCTCTTGAAGAATCTTCAAACTACTGGCATCTCAATTCAATAATGGTGTTTCAATAATAAAATAATAACACAGTTCGATATAAAAGGGAGAAATTTGGTAAATGTTAATAGTCGATCCACTACTTTGTTAACAGATGACTTCTTCACTTCAGACACAAACTGAAGTGATGTAGAGTGAAAGAGAAACAAGAATGTCACTTTGACTTGAAACTACTTGGGAGCTGTGTTTTACATCGCTAACGTCAAATCTTTATTCGACTGAAACTCAACTTATTTCATACATTGGTTCCCGTGATAAATTTTGATATAGAAAGCAAGACGAAGTGTACAGTATTATATGATACCAATCCATTCCAAATGTTCTCATCAGCTGCAGACTACTTTACTCAACTACTTTATTTACTCATCAGTAATGAATAAAAAAGTAACAATTTGTGAAAGTGAGCAGTAAAACAACAGTGCCTTACCTCAAGAACTGCAAGTAAAATATTCATTTCCATTGGAATCTGGAAGGGTAAGGTGACAGTCCAAATAATGTATACACAGGCTAAGATCACACTACGAAATGAGTGTCGTGTTATGTGTAGGCCTTACCCTGCAACCAGATAAATCCACTTACTATCAACAATCGGTCCTCTCCTTTGGTCCCTTGGTGTGTGCTAGATTATGAATGAATATCAAACTCACACGAAAACAAATACAAGAATGATAAAGAGGACTGCAATCCATTGAAAAATGGTATATAGTAAAAACTTTACCTATTTTCGTTTGATGGACGAATAGGAGCAGCCATGTTACCCCACCTTTGTATTCATGATTATCAGCAAGCGTGAAATGGTAGATGGTAAGATATTCACAACAGTCTTGTTTTACATATCAGTGTGCAAGTGTATTTGTTTTAAATAACTGTGTGCGTTTTATAGGATATTTACAACTGAAGACCTTGAATGGGTGGTATTTAATTGGTTTTGCTTGATGAAGTAGCCATTGTGAAGCGTGACACTTCACGATATAGGAGTAGAGCAATGGATAGTCAAACAGACATCATTCGTAATGGAAACCAATAGTATTATGTTGTTAGAAATCATGATTGGCTGGTAATCAACGCATTTCGATTGGTCACTATGATTTGTGTTGACTTATTTGTGTAGGCAGAACAATATTTACTGTATGAATTGCATAGAAATCGATGATGTAGGTCTAAGTTTAGGGAAACGACAGTGAGTGAAATTTCAAGACGCCTTGAACTCGGTGTTAGCAAAATGCATTTCTTTATTCAAGTGTTGGTTTGTAGGTATTTGATTGGTTACAGGATTTCATCATGAGCTGAGATTGGTTAGAGTGCGTGCTGATGAAGAGTTACAAACTAGGAAGTAACAACAGCTAAGTTCTCCCAGGTTTTCCAATGTCTCTCTAACTAATGTCAGGTCATGATGAAAAGCGTGTCTTTATATCAAAGCTATTCTGAAAGGGATTATTCTGTAATACATCCAATCTATTTTGTCGTCTATTGTACTATGTCATGAAAACTGTAAATTCCTCCCCCCCCCATTCTAGTGTTATTTGATAATCTAGTCTAGAACAATGTTACAAAATTTGCAACAAACTTCACACTGTTTTTCAAATGTTTACTGACAACTTCATTTTGACCTTGTGAAATAGCAGATTTTCTGTTGATTAGGGATGCTAAAGATTGATCCGTCAACAAGGAATATTCCTTTCGTTAACTTCTTCATCGTGTTCTAGGGTTATATGGCGATAATGCTTTAGCTGTTACAGACATATAATTGTAGAATGTGATGAAGTTATCGGAAGGGATGTTCCTTGTTCACTAGTAAGTCTTTTGAAGTTTCTTGTTATCATGTGACCGTATTGTATGTTAAAGTTAAACTTCATTTCTACTCACAGTCTCTCGAACCCTGTCTTTTTCCAAGTATAGTCGTTCGATTATCCTTCAAATGTTCAATCCTTTCAATGCCTAATAATCTAACAAATTACAAAACTTCTAACCTCTTGTATTCTACAGGATGTAGACAGCTGGGTAAAAACTCCATGAAAAACCAGAGAGTGAGTAAATATCTACCCAGTTTCAGGCTGCATCTGGTTTTCTAAGGATATAACGAAATGCGTGAGCTTACAGGGAATCAGATATTCAATACGTGCACTTTTTTCATTATAACTCGATTCCACACCGTATACTTTCGGAAAAAGTATGTAATTTTCAGCATACAATATAGGTACACCAAATTTTGCACGCCAACCATTAACATCAGGGGTTCGTCAACAGGAGATAGAATCCTGAACTATATGCATGGACGGCGAGATTCCTAACAGCCGCGCCAACGACTCATCATGAGAAGCAGAGATTTCGTCGAGAATACTAAATCCTACAGAGTGATAAATATATAAAAGTGGCAACAAATTCACTGTCATACCGCGAAAGAAGGGCAATCAAATATTTCAAGCCAAACTTCTGCATACACAGACATTCAGTAATCAATGTGTCAAACCCATCATAATGGAAATTTGATTTCATTGATAAGCCATCTATATCAGCGATATCAGCTCCCGAATTGCCTAGTGAACTTATGCGATTACCCAGTTTGCTAGATTATTCTGTCTGCTCTCATCAACTTTTTGATTTTGAAAGCATAAATTCGACGGTAATTTAAACTAAAATAAACCTAATGCTCACATTTGCATGCTCTAATTTCATAATTTCCTCCTTGACTGACATGGAAGAGATATTGTGAGGAGGATATGAGAGACACTTGAGCAATCGTGGACCCAGCGGAATTAGATATCAGAAAATCGAAGAAAGTGAAGATGTGCTGTTGAAGCCCTGTGTTCCACTCGGAGCCAAAGCGATTGATAACAACAGCTTTCAAACAATGAAGTGTTTTATTGACATTATCCACACTCATTGTGATTTCAGGTAGCTCCTCACTGACGACAACCTGTGAAATAGAATCGTGAAATTTCCTCCTGGAAATTCCATCTGTCTTATTTTCTCGGAGTTTCTCAAGGGAATGGAATGTAGAAAATTATCTATCTTTCTTTCTATCTATCTATCTATCTATCTATCTATCTATCTGTCTATCTATCTATCATACTTTATATATAAAAAGGCTCATACAAGGATGACAGTTTTCCGACATTTTCATCTCAAATAATAGATTCTCATCAACTATGCCAATCGGGTTTAAGAGCGGTTTAGAAAAACATCCGAATTGATTGGAATGGTTTACAAGCACAAATAGTAAGCTGTAGCTCTATGTAGGTACACAAATTTGACTTGATGACTTCTTCATGCATTTCTAGTTCCTGATTCAGCTGGATATGCCTCTTTAATCATCCTCGTTTACTTGGACAGTATGTGTTATCCTGGAATGTTTTGTTTATAATTTAAATATAGTTGATATTAGTTAGAATATTTTGCATCGATCGGCTGTCAGACTGGCTTCAGCTGCATCTAAATTGTTAACGCGAACCAGATGAAGATAAAAGTCCTCCTCCAGCCGATATCTCTGCACATAATTTCATGCACACCAACTCTGGATTTCAACACTTTCAACAATTCGAAACAAGCTGTTCAACTGTTAGACTTAGTCAATCTCTCAAACCTTTAATTACTTTACTTGATATAACTTCACACAGCACAAATTATTGAACTTAATATCACATCTGTTCACCTCATATATTATCGAACATCAGTGCTCTTTCTGCTTCCTCTCTATGGTGTCAGAAAACATTCGAGCGAATCTGTAATCCTTAACCATTTCGCAATTTGAACATTTCAAACATATGCAGTTTACGGAGAAAAATTACAATGTGAAGTGTGAGTTTTATCTACTGATACTATTACTAATACTACTACAAACACTTTTACCTATGATTTTGATAGAATAGCATCAGGATTTGCTGTAAATTCTTCCATGAAATACTGAGTGGACTTGACATAAGACCACTCAGTAATATGGTAAGAACTCTCAAAGCGATGTAAATTTTTTCTCTTCTTTGAAGCTAAGTGGTAATGACGCAAACATTCCAAAGTCTCGTTTCGAATACTCCTCCGAAATTCTTAAAGGAGATATTCAAAATTAAAAAATTAAAAACGCATATATACTGTTCGATGACGTTTCGAAGAAATGCTCGTTGACAACCTTGCATTTCTATTCTAGAGTGGAAGAAATGTCTAGAAATCTTGAACTACCAATGACATCTGAAGGACCTTATCTACAGCTACATTACAGTATGTGATTATTTTGAAATCATGGCATATTAAGAGAAACGGCATCAAAAGCTTCACGAAGACCGAAATACCGTACTTGTACCACAAATACAGTGTGGAATCCATGATCCCTACTCAATTTTCCCTATAGAAAAATAATTCCATTAGGCATGATTGTTTCAGTCTGAATCCACGCATATTCACAACCAGTAAGCTATGATATTCCACATAATTCTTAAGAATGCCTTTGCTATTGTACATTTCATATTTACAAGCTGTTAGTTAGACAACAATATACTCTACTCTCTCACTCTTTTGAAGACAAGGCTAGTAACTGCATCCTTCCAATCATTATGGGTATATAAATAACGCGTATACGACAGAAACCATCGAATTATAAGAAGATAATTGATTTATAGCAAATAGAACACCAATAAATATAGTGAGATGAACTTAAGTATCCAATCACGTGTATGGTCAAAGGGTAAGAAAATAAAAACTCATATTACTTCCAGGTGACAAGTAGTAAAACGGTGAACACAACAGAAAAACTTACGACCCTGAGGTGATAAAAAAATAAACAGGCGCCTTATAGTCACTTGACGTCAAACAACCATTCGCTTGCTCTATGCGATTAGGTGCCCCCAGCTTTAATTTTACCACTCAATGAACAAACCGCTGTGCTACCGACGCAAGGAGGCGTCTTAGACGAGGAAACTAAATGTATGTCCGAACCACGTTTCTGAAATTTATGTCACTTGGACTAAACCATCTCTCAACTAACTCAATATTAAAATTATTTTACATTCACAACCATTTGTATATGTTCTCTGCATTTATTACATTATTGAAGTTCAATCTGACACTACGAATTTCGAGTGTGACTGCGGTTTGATCCATCACTACAGTGAAGTGAGGACAAAACTATCATGTCCACAGTGGGATTCAGTCACAGTATTTCCAGTGGAAACTGGGATGAACGAAGTGAGAATTTCTTGTGACATACTTGTGAGGCATCACTGTTTACTGAAGATGATTTTCTGTATTGGTTCATTCAGTGAGCAGTTTCCAATCAATATTTAAACCCACTCAAGTAGATGAGCATGCAACTAAATCGATCGGTGTTTATTTGTTCGAATTCGCCGTCCAGTACAACTACATAGAAGATTGTGATGTCAAAAGACTAGTCAATTCCTCAATAAATAGTAGGTCAAGAGAAGGAATAAGAATTCACTTGAAACAACACGCCGGAGAACTTCAAATGACAAATGTAGAAAAAAACGCATATATTAAGAAAAATACTGAAAATGATGAAGGACTGCTCAACAAGAGACTTTAGGTATAATTATTTCTCCCTGTTATCAGTACCTGACTCTTTATCTCTCTTTTTCGTCTAAATCTACCGAGTTAAAGTAATTGGAACTTTCAAACATATAAGGGTGCATGAATTTCATTTTGATCACCGTAATTTCGCTGTGCTGAAAACTATGCTTTGTGTAAAATATCTTCAAAGAAATATTTAGAGGAAAGCTTTTATTTTACCACTCAATGAACAAACATTTACTGGTAACTGGACATATGCATAAGGTGGTATATCCATTGACAATAAAGCAACTAAATTAAGCAGTTGGTGAATTGGCTTCTAGGGT